AAATATCACGACTTTAATACAGATGAACTGTTGGGACAGTAAGAATGATTCTTTTACTTACTAAGATCATACTTACAAATCTCTCTGAATTTGGTCAATCAGCAAACCATCAATATTTTTCTTATTTACAAAATACCAAGCCATCCCACCAAAGTGTCGTGTTGAACGCAAAAGGTCATACTTTCCATGTTTATCTATATCTTCATAGGTCTGATGATGAACCTATCCACATAAAATACAAGTCTTCAGAAATGTAGCATGAGTGGGATCAAGAAAATAATTGATTTGATTTAAACCATTCCTTGTATCATAATTGATTTGATTTAAACCATTCCTTGTACCTTAGGTGGGATGGAGGATTCTAGTAAGACAGAAGAGTTTGCCTGAATGACAGCAAATCTGTCGGAAGTGTGTGGCAGCCTGGAGTCAAGTTCTATCAAACATGTATAGCCCTTTCGATTACTTTTTGGCAGCCAAGCACTACATATTAAGCACCTCTTACATATAGACGACTGGAAATAGTGTGCCACCCATCTCTTGGTCACTGAGGGAGAAATGAAGTAACATTTTTCACTACTCCCCCTTTCCCCTATCCCATTAACTATTCCCTCAGCTATCCTATTACATGTTATTAACTAAAGTTCCTTCAATTCTTCTTCCATACTGATTTTCCTACATGAGGTCTCTGATGAGGGCATTCCTCTGTCCGAAAGGTTTTCAAAGACCTGCTGACCAAAGTCCAGATTCTTCAGCCTAGCATCAGAGGTCATCATAATGTGGCCCCATCCACTTTCCAGCTTAATTTCAAACCACCCCCTAACTTGGCATCAACTATACTACCCACGACAGTATCTTACACATAGACAGTACTAATGAGTATTTATCATGTTGAGTTACAAGAAACACACATTGCACTTTGGCAAATTTTAGTAAGTAACTTTGTTCCTATATGGTAAACTGAAAAGAGAATAAGCTTCGTCACAAGTTTGGGTGCTAACACATTAACATTTACTAGCTATGCAACTTTAATGAAGTAGCTTGCATAGCTACTTAATTCTCCAAGCTTAAATTTCCTCACCCTTAATCAAGGATTGTTCTAAGAATAAAATATATACGTCTGGCACACATCTGTACTTGATAGATTTTCAGATTTTCCCTTTCCCTATATCAACACTTAACAACCAAACTATGTTAGATTAAATATCTTACTCATAACTAGACTTAAGCCTGTATTTTACAAACTATCAAATATACACACCTTGATATACTCAGAGGAATCCGGCTCAAATTGGGCAACGCAGAGATTGAGGATATCAACGTGCCGGTCCTGGCTGTACATAGTCTAAAACCACACAGCAGAGTTGGAAGCAGATGAGAACAAAGAAGTTTAGCACTTGTCTTGATGCTATGACAGACCTGCCCATCTAATACAGGCCACATCTGTGCTCACCAAGTGGCATAAAGAAATAACCTGGACTTTGTAACTGTTACACCTGGATTCAGATCCCAGCTAAGCCAATTATAGGAGAGCGAAACCCTAGCCAAGCTACCATTAGAAATGTTTACCTGTGTGCCCGGCAGCACAGAGCCAACCAGTTCAACAAAGAAACCATCACCAGTGATTAAAATATAAAACCCAAGTCACCTTACCTTAAGATTTTCTTCTTTGAAAATTACTGGTGGCAAAACTCTACGACCTTCTTTTGGGAAATAAACTTGTATCATCCGGTCCCGTTCTTCCCAAGAGGCTTTGCGTAATGTGCCACTTGGTTCTCTTACGACAATAAAACGCTCCTGAAATAGAAAACATAATCAAGGATGAGTTTGTGGGAACTTATTTTTAGTTCATATGTCCCACTAGGACCATTATAAGAATAATTTGCAATCAACAATATAAAGTGCACTAGGAAACATAAGATGCAATCATGCATATGAGTTCAATGATAATTTTAAACCTCAAAGACTTGGTGAGGTTTCACACTTCTTCACTAATCACTGCTATGCATATGGCAGTCAGAAATCTAAAATGAAAGTCCTTAGTAAGACCAACTATGGTGGTAAAGTGAGTTCAATACACGAAATGGTTCAGCTAAAAAAGAAAGAGATTCATCTAAATCTATTTTAGAGGAAAGAAGTGCTTATGACCTTTTCAAAATATTTCATTTCCTCATCTCAAAGTCTCACCTGAACAGATTTTACTAATTGACAATCTATGTTTAAAGTCCTTGGGATAAAAGGAATAAATCCAAGAATGCAGGCTCTTAATTTTACTGACCGGTCCACCTGACTCTTGTCTGCCCACTCCTCCACCTGCCAAATCTGGGCCATGGAGCTGCTTCCTCTGAATCCTACCCACTGTTTATAATATTCAGCTGGCAAGTCAACACATACATAATTATTAATACTTTTCAGATATTGTTATGTAGCTGGAAAAGGATAAAAACCATGGATTGTAATTTTTTGCAACATGGAGAGCGACACACGTGGAGCTCTGCATATTACTGATAATGTATTAATTAACTAGATAATACTCTCAACTTTTCAGAGGTGTATGAGTCTGGGCATGGTGTAATTAAAGCTTTCATCAAGCACTGCAAATAGAAAAGAAGAAAAAAAACAGATGTGAAAATAACACAATTTTACCTCAAAAGGATTTAGGTAATTGGAGAAATCTGAATTCTAAGTTCCTTTCTCCTTTTCAAGTTACATAATGTTCCCATAACTAGCCTTCTTAGTATTGCAGACATATCTTAAAGCAGCACACACACAAAAATTCTAATTAAGATGAAAACTTTGTGATCCTCATTCATTATGTCAGATAGACAGATGGATGTTTTACAGGCATGGACATAGCTCAAATCCTGTCTTCTATCATCATATGTATAAAAGATCGCATAATGTGGGGTGGCCCTTCTCCCAAACTCAGCAGTCTTTACTGTCCTAATGTATTTCGTGGGTTGAATTGTAAATTACTGTCTTTTTATTCTTTGTTTGCAAAGACTCAAATACCAAACTGACCCATTTTTAAAGCATCAGAGTGTTACTGGCAACAAGGAAAGAAGAGCCAGAAAATAACAACTACAACAGAGGTAATGTCTGAAAATTATCTGAGAAACTTCTGTCATTCTTACTTACTGAAAATTGTGGAAAATGAAAACCCTTTGGAAGTCTGAGTTTCTTGGCATCATCAAGGAAATTAACAGAACAGAAACACTCCACTGTCTTAAAAGGCTTCAGCTAAGGAACTCAATCTAACCTAGGCAAAAAGAATCTCATTCTTCCTTTGCCTTGTGGGTTTCTGTCTGTACACCCCTTGTTCTGTTACTTTGCAGTCAATGCGGAATATACTGTGTCTATAATCTGTAGGGAAACAGTAATACAATGATTTGGGACTTGTCTGTATTTCTTATCCTCCTTGTAATTCCATAAGGATCTCACCCAGTCAGACAAATTCTGGTTTGGAGGCATCAGAGATAAGCAGGTCACACAGTCCCTTCGGTCCATCCCCACTTGGTATTTCAAATAAAGATATAAAGATCATTTTGCAATTAGATGTAATACTCACCCGGTGTGGTAAACTATATGATATATCAGTAAACACGTATTTGGCTGTTTCTGTTCCTTCCAAAATCTTATCTTCAGCTAACACGTCATTTATTGGTTTTCGTTCTTCCAAAACAGGCAGCATTTTTAATCGTACTTTAGCTGCTTCAACTGCCTGTCTTGTAGCCTAATGAAATAAAATATTTCTTAAGGAAAGCCAAAAGATTATATACCAAAAGGATCATCTGACAAAAGCAGACACTAATCAAAAAAGCTAATAACTGCAAAGAAAAGAAGGCTGTAGCTATACATCAGTGAGTGAAAAGCCAGACTTGGACTTGTACACCCTGGTCTTTGCCTCTGTGGTATGGATGAGCTACAGGCTCCACCGTTATCAAAACCGCAAAGCAATGCTCTGACGGAGCCAGGCTTCAAAAGCTGCTTGAAATAAAGTAAAGAACTGCATTTAATGGGTGCTCACTCTGCCAGATACCATTCAAATACCCTGAATATATGTGACTTGTTTAATGACCCAAATACCTTATGAGCTACGTGCTATAGTTACCATCTCCATTTTATGGAAGCTAAAATAAAGGCACCCAGAGGTTCAATTGCTCAGAAGTTACAGCACTGGGATTTGAACCCAGGAGACCCAACCTTAGAGCCAGGGCTCTTAACCATTGACTATACTGCTTCCTATCATATTGTTAACAGTGTTACCTCTGAGAGGCGAAAAGTGGATTTTTACTCTTCACTATTTTAATAGTGACCTATTAGATATGTGATTTTTTGCTATGACTATAAATTACTTTTGAATCAGAAGGAAATTAATGCTTCATATATTCATACATCAAAGTATTTTCCACAAAGAACTCAGTACCCACGGCTCCAGGAGGACACTGGTGCCTGGAGTAGGATGCTTTCAGCAGGATCTCATAATCCCACCAGCTTCAGCCCCAAGGCAGCTCACAGCAAATGTTTCTCCTAGGAGAATGCTGAGGAAGGCAGGGAAAAGGAAGGGGGCTCAGGCTGGTTTGAGAGCAGAAAGGAGACTCTCTGGACACCCAGATCTGATACATGTTACCCTAGTCTACTCAGTTCTGACCATGCGCCCTACCTCTCTGCCTGCCTACTGTAACATTTTCCTCCTCACTAGTGCCTATAGAAGAGCAGCTATATGCATCTGGAGGGGACCTCTGGAAATCTTGTTTAAGCCCTTAAAGAAAGAAAGGTATCCTAGCAATGTGCCTGTGTTCACGTACCTCTTCCAACTGTGCCTGGGTCATCAGCTTATAGGTTGGTGGCTTCAGTTCTTGTATAGCTGGCTTAAAAGTCTTCTGCAAGTTCAAGCCTGTCATCTTCATGAGTATGCTTTGAACTTCCTCATCCATAAATGTAGGTTTCTTGATCTCTGATTTACCAGATTCTGCTAAAATGTACTTTAGTAAATAAGGTGACAAAAACTATAGGCCAACAACACCCCTAAATAGAAAAGTAAGCTAACAATAAGAACCATTACCATGATGTCTACCTTGGCACTGCATAAAGCTACTGTCTGTGAAGTTCATTCATTCATTCCTTCATTTAAAGTTTACCATTCACTATGATGAAAATATAGACTCAGTCTCTGCCAAGACAGGCTACTGGAGGGAGCAAAAGGACTTCAAAACACTTGAAGATATCAGCCTGGGAAAAGGCTTTATGAAGAAGACTTCCGTGGCAATTGCAACAACAATAAAAATAAACAAATGGGACTTAATTCAACTGAAAAGCTTCTGTACAGCTAAGGAGATAACAACCAAAGCAAATAAACAACTACACAATGGGAAAGGATATTTGCATTATTTTGAATCAGACAAAAGCCTGATAACTTGGATGTATAGAGAACTCAAATTAATCCACATGAAAAAAGCCAACAAGCCCAAATATCAATGGGCAAAAAAGATGAATAGACCTTCTCTAAAGAAGACAGACAAATGACTAACAAACATGAAAAACTGCTCATTGTCCCTAATTATTAGAGAAATGCAAATCAAAACCACCTTGAGATACCATCTAACCCCACTGAAAATGGCCCATATCACAAAATCTCAAAACTACAGATGCTGGCGTGGATGTGGAGAAAAGAAACACTTTTATACTACTGGTGGGACCGCAGACTAATACATCCTTTTTGGAAGGAAGTATGGAGAACCCTCAAAGAACTCAAGCTAGACCTCCCATTTGATCCTGTAATCCCATTACTGGGCATCTTGCCAGAAGGAAAAAAAATCCTTTTACCACAAAGACACTTGCACTAGACTGTTTATCACAGCTCAATTTACAACTGCCAAAATGTGGAAATAGCCTAAATTTCCACCAACCCAGGAATGGATTAACAAGCTGTGATATGTATACCATGGTATACTATTCAGCCATTAAAAAAGATGGGAGACTTTACATCCTTTGTATTAATCTGGATGGAAGTGGAACACATTATTCTTAGTAAAGCATCACAAGAAGCATGAATCCTATGTACTCAATTTTGATATGAGGACAATTAATGACCTAGTACATGGTGGGGGTGGGGGAAGGGCAGAGCAGAGAGAGGAGGGAGGAGGGTGGGAGAAGGAAGATCAGGGAGAGGAAAGGGGGGAGGCTGTGGGGGTCTCGGTGTGTGACACACCTTTGGGGGGCAAGACACAAGTATAAGAGGGACTTTACCTAACAAATGCAATCAGTGTAAACTGGTTTCTTATACCCTCAATGAATCCCCAACAATAAAAAAAAGTCAAACTCATAATAAAAAGTATATTCATGGAAAAAAAGAGTAATTAATGTAATTAATAAATAATGGCTGCTACCATTTACAGAGTTGTCTCTTTTATGCTAAGCATATAGCTATTACTATCCCAATTTTATAACTGAGGATACTGAAGCCTACCCAAAGACATCTAGCTATTAAGTGGTAGAGCTATGATTTAAACAAAGGTTTGTCTGGTTCTAGAGCCTAGATCATTCCCGATCTATTACGATGCTCCTCAGTCTAAGGGCTGTGTGATTGCAGAGGAAGGAACTAAACACAGCCTGGAGGAGGGAAGGGCATGAAAGGGCCAAAGAAAGCATTCCAAGGGCCTCATCAGAGAAACAAAGAGAAGGAAATTCTAGGCTAAGGGTTTGCAGCTAGGGAAGAGTGGCCTGGGTCACTGGACATGATAATGAACAGGCCAATGTGTCATGGAAGAGCCCTAGGAGAGGAGACTCAAATCTTGGCTCTACCTCATGTAGTCTGCCTCTTCCACTACCTAACTTGTTTTCCATTTCCATTAGGAAAACACAAAAAGCTATTTGTTCCCAGTCACCTCTGCCAGTCCTATAAACTGTTGGTGTCCCTCAAGATTCTGAACTATGTCCTTTTCTCCCTTCAAATATTCTCACTAGAGGTGCTCTCCTCACCTCCCTATGACTTTAATTATATTTATATGCTAGAAACTCTAAAATCTGAATCTCCAGTAAAGATCATCTTCCATCCAGTTACCCAATGGAAATCTCACATGAAATATTTCCAAATCAAAACCAACCAACTTTCTCTTGTCTCAAGCCTGTTTTTCCTTTGTTCCTTATCTCAAGGAATCCTCACTCAGTAGGTCGGCAGGGCAGAAACCTTACAGTCATTCCTAACTTCTTTACTCTCCAGCTCTAGCCTGCAGCGGCAGTAGTAATAACAGTAATCATAACTGCTAGCATTTATTAAATGCTTACCATGTGCAGTTGTTACCATTGCACATGGTAAACACTACCATTATCCTCATTTTACCAGAAAAAAAAAAAGCCCAGAAAACAAAACAAAAAAACTGACATAAAACATACTGATTGACATCTTTCAGTCACTACCCTTGTCAATATCATCCTCATCCCTTGCCTAATCCTCCCTACCTCCATTCTGGCTCCATTACAGACCATTCTCCACAGAGCAACAAGCACACTGTATAAAAAAGGTAATTAAGACAGCCCCCAAGCTTATAATTTCACCAATGGCTTCCAACATCAGAAAAAAGCTAAGGTGGTCTGTGTACATCACTATGTCCCCCACCAGATGATGTGCTCTCTGAAGACCAGAACCTTGTTTTATCTCTGACAGCCAGGGTCCCTCTGAGTGTCCAGCACACAGTAGTCAGGCATCCTCAAACTTTGGCCCGCAGGCCACATGCGGCCCGCCAAGGACATATATCTGGCCCGCCAGGTTTTTTTGCCGCCACTGCCTGTCCTGTTTAGCAGCCGACTCGTCCGGGCCCGCAGTCTGGCCCTCCAATGGTCTAAGGGACAGTGAACGGGCCCTCTGTTTAAAAATTTTGAGGACCCCTGCTAGATGCCCAACACTATTCTCTCCTCAGACAATCTTGCCCATGTGCCCAGTTTTAGTTACCATTTGTACTCCAGTGTTTCTCAATTTATATCTAACTGTATAGTGAATCTCAAAGGCACCTCAAAAAAAATTTTTTTTAAGAGATGGAGTCTAACTATGTTGCCTAGGCAGGTCAAAGTTAATAGGTTCACAACAAACAAAGCAGTAACAATCTTCAGAATGGGATAAGATATTCACATGTTATGAATCTGACAAAGGGCAAATAATGAGAATCCGCCAAGAAATCAAGGAAATCAACAAGAGCAAAAAACCCAGTCAGTGGGCAAAAGAAATGAACACAACCTTTTCCCAAGAAGACAGAAGAATGGCCAACAAACACATGAAAAAATGCTCACCTTCCCAAAGCATCAAAGAAATGAAATCAAAACCACCTTGAGATCTCACTTAACACCAGAGAGAACAGCCCACATCACAAAGTCTCAAAGCTGCAGATTTTGGCAAGGATGCACAGAGAAGGGAACACTGCTGGTACAACTGCAAACTAAGAAGCCTTTTTGGGAAAGAAGTATGGAGAATCCTTAAAGAGCTAAAAGTAGACTGTGTGATCCTGTAATCCCATTACTAGGTATCTACCTAGAAGAACAAAAAAGCACTTTACCATCAGGATATTTGCACTCAAATATTTATAGCTGTTGAATTCACAATCGTAAAGATATGAAAATAACCCAAGTGCCCATCAACCCATGAGGGATTAATCAGTAGTGGTATATGTATACCATGGAATACTATTCAGCCATAGAAAGATGATGGAGACTTGAGATCTTTTGTATTTACCTGGATGGAGTTGAAGAACATCCTTCTTAGTAAAGAAGCTCAAGAACAGGAAAACAAGCATCCCATGTACTCAATACTAAATTGAAACTAGGAGATGAACAACTATAGTCCACATTAGAGGAAAAACACAATTAAATTAAGAAGGCAGGCAGAGGGAGGAAAGGGACTCAGAAAGCTCCTACCTAAAGAGTACAAAGTAGGGAAATACAGCATACCTCCTAGGGGAAGGACTCAAATACAACTGACTTTTCCTGAAAAACAATGCAACACATTGTGTAATCACATGTACCCTTATATGAACCTAAAGTAAACAACAAAAAAGAAAATGAGAAAAAAATTGTGTCCAAAACGGGTTTAATTCTGTATCCCTTCCCATCTCCTGACCTCATACACTCCTGCCCTCTACAGGCCACTCCACTCCACCCGCAAACGTTCTTGGTACGTTTGCCTCTGCTTAACTACTACAGCCAGAAACCTAAAAAACGATCTTGATTTTTCATTTTAAACTATACCAGCCTTTATCAATCCTACTTTCAAAATGGGTTCCCCGAATACCCATGTTCAGTCTTATTTCTGGACATTTGCCTATGCCGCCCCCTCTGCTTGAAATGCTTCTGGCTTTCTCCTTAGCATGGTTAACCAGGTGTCAGCTTTGGTCATATTTTCCAGGAACCCAGTCTGAGTGCCTCTATGTGCGTTCCCTATCTCAGCCGGAGTCACACTGCACTGCCAATTCCCCAAGGGACTATGAGTTCCCTCAGGGAAAAGTCCGCCTTACTATTAGTTTGCTATACCCTCTCAGATCAGATCTGTGCTCCGCAACTAGAGGAACTCAGGCATTGCAGGCTTAGAGAGTGATGAATGAACAAATGCAGGCGCTGACAAGCTCTGCAAGTACAGAAAGAAACCGGCTAACTCGGAGAATGAGCTGCGAGAAGGAGCCGCGGGGTGGTTTTCCCCAGCAGAATCAGATTCTAGGTAGTTAGGCAGATCGCTTACCCGCCTCGGAGCCGAACTGGCGGCGTGGCAACCCCACTTCGAAAAGCGAGGGAAGCGGCTGCAACAGGGCATCGGGCCGGGGCTGGGTTCGGACCCGGATACAGACCCACTCCGAACCCCAAGAACTTGTCAGGACGTTCCGCACCAAGAGAGGGAACCTGAGAGTCGCCATGAGTACCCGAAACCGCTTGCGCGGGAAGCGGCTGGGAGCAAATTCCGGTTCACGCCGTTTGTGCGGCATTCTGGGAAATGTAGTCTAGTTGAGGGAGGCAGGGAGGAAGTCTCCTGGGTCTTTATAGATGGTTTCTCTTGTACTGCTTATTCACAAGTAGGTGCACAGAGCAAAAGTTGAAGTTGCGCTTCTTTGCTGGGCCTTTTAATCATTTGTATAATCCTAAATAATATTAATACATTTCTACTTCCCAACCCAAACCATTTTTCCCATCCCCAGTTTTCAATCCAACTACCTATTGGATTTTCCAAACTTTTCACATACACCCCAAATCTAACTTCTGATTTCAATCCCTGATTGCCACCACTACCAATTCAGACATCTTATTCTGTTTCAAAACCTACTCTTTACTTTATAGCCCTTTTCACAATTTGTGGTTATTCTGCTCATTTATCTGAATATTTATTTTTCTCACCCTATGAAGACAGTGATTTTTACCAATTTTATTGCAATATCGCATAGCCTAGTACATCTGTGTGCATAGAGAACAGTTGTTAAATAAATTACAGATTAAAAAATTCTTTTTGCCTGTGGCACAGTGGGTAGGGCACGGGCCCCATATACCGAGGGTGGTGGGTTCAAAACCATCGTGGCCAAACTGCAACAAAACATAGCTGGGTGTTGTGGCGGCTTCCTGTAGTCCCAGCTACTCAGGAGGTTGAGACAAGAGAATTG